CCTCGCCCATTTACCCTCGTAATCAGGGGGAGTGGGGGACGATGCTAACCCCAGCCGCAAGCGATGATTAAATTATCGTGTGCAACTTTCATCAGCTAACTGAGACCAGGCCACCTTAGGTTTGAATGGGGTCCTGGGTGTACACCCACCACCGGAGTGGAAGAATGGCAGGCGCATCTTACAGATCACAAGTCGATGGTCAGAGGGCAGATCAGCTCCACGGTAGGTTCTGGTGTCAAGGACATGGGCTCACATCCGCTGATCCATCACTTTGTAGTCCAGGAGATGTTCTTGCTTGGACCAGGCATGCATCCATGATGTTGTGTGAATGCGCTGATGCCAGAACAGCATGTTGGTAATTACAAGCCCATGGGCTGCACAAAAATCTAGCAGTCTCCTACCGTTGTTATTGAGCTGATCTGTCCCATGTCTTCCAATCACTCCAGAGCAAGTGCCAGCATCACCAACAAGATGACTATCCCGAGGAGCCACTTTAGCCAGACAGGTCATAGAAGGCATCTGACTCATTGGCCTTGCCTGCATCCCTGCACGGATGTTCGTCTTTGTTAGGGGCATAAGTAACCACGACCACCACTCCTCACCTCCGGTTAATGGGAAGGCGAGCCCAAAGTAGCCTGGGGCTTACAGCTTCCCACACCTCACCGCCATGCTCCCACGCCCCCTTCATTCATTTGTTCAGAAGAAGAGCCACACCCTGTTGTTTGGCAGTCTCCTGCCCCGAGTAGAGGACTGTCCACCCCTCATGGTGACAGGAGGCAGAGCTGGTCCACCGGACCTCCTGAATGCCACAGAGATCCAGGCAGTACCGGTCCAGCTCCCGACAGAGGAGTGGCAGCCTCTCCTCCACAGTGAGCATTCGAACATTCCACTTAGCCATCCATAGTGGCTTGTTGTTGTTTCTGGATGAGCCCTGAGGGTATAGATTCAATCTCCTGGCTCCGCCAGATGGGATTTTACCAGAAGGCATCATAGACGCCTGGCCCGCTAGGGTCTCCGGCACAAGCTTATAAGTTAGATATTTTAGTCGTGGTTTAGTGGTAATTTATTGAAGGTGGAGGGGTTACCAGCCCCTCGCACCCGTCCAGAACCCCCATTTAGCCACTGTGGTGGTCACAAACGCCATGAGGGGAAAAATGCCAATCGGAATTGTCCCTCTCCCCCACAGCACTGTCCACGACAGCGTTGCCCATCCGGCACCGCGAGGAGGTAGGGGGTTGTTTTGCCGGACATTTACACACAGACGCATGGACCTACATGCACACACATATGGACTCAAACACACACATCGACGTGCACAGCAATCCCCGATGATGGCATAGCTATCAGCATCACAGTACTACATATCAGTAAATAGTGGGACGTGAGCAATGGAAACAATATAAATACATAGAAGAAATAAGCTGAAATAAGTGTACATTAAATAGCAGCAGTACGCACAGGTAATTTGGGAAGCAGGCTACAGTCTAGATTATAGATAGGCAGTATGCCGACTCAATGGCATAAGGATTGCTACAGTGGACATAAAAAGCTGGCAATACAGGCAGCAACTGAAAAAGCAGGATGCAGTCGACATGAAAGGCTGGCAGTACACTGAGTGAGGTAAAGAAGCAGGGAAGAGATTATAGACTGCCATACACTCAATGGGCAAAAGCTAAATTAAGTGTAGAAAATACAGTGCCAGTGCACTGACGTTAATTAATCAGCAGGCAGCAGTCCACAGCACAGAATTGCAGTACACTGTTGCAGCGTCATTTAAAAAAAAAACCCAAAAGGTAAATATTTAGCAAACTAATAATGAAAAATTCGTTTTCTGCACACAGACATTATAATAGTAATATTTGCCAACTTATGTTTCATAATAGTAAACAATGAACCAGAGTTGTTATCTGCACACAAACATAATTATTGTAATATTTGCCAACGTATTTGTTTACTAATATTAAACAACTAACCTGAGTTATTAGCATAAGAAGCAAGGAAAATTGTACTGACCATAGCCGTGGTGAGGCCTAGTCCCGTGCTGAGCCCCCGTCCTGGCCGATATTGGCCACCCGGGGTTGACACATTGCCAGGCTGGGGCTGGGCCGCAACCCAACCCCCACCACCATCCCCCTGCCCGAGCTACAATAATACTATGCAAGTGCTGTAATACTATTAATATGTAAGGACTTTATAGCAGTAACTGGACGCATCGTGTTGGGGGGTGGGGGAGGTGGGGGGGACGAAGAGGACATCAGACTGTGAAGAAATATCCGCAGCGTTATGGATATATTTATTGCATGTTAAACACGTAAAAGAAAATGTCCCCCGTGAGCTCGACCGAACGCGCATCACTTGGCAGGGTCCATCCCCCCACGCAATTGGCGTAAGTTGGTACGGTCGATGTCAATAAATAAAAAAAATTATACAACTTCCCACTAAATCGCTAATTTTACTAATTTAAAGGTGACAGACGTGAAAAAGGAATAGCCCATTCCCTCTGCGGGGCCTAGGGCGTGCCGGCTGGAATTTTTTCTATGTTGACCCCACTGTTCGAGAGCCAAATCCTTCGCAAGCGTGCAGAGACTTTTATACATAAGAAAGAAAAGAAGAAAGAAAAGATGATAAAATGATATGATGATGAAGAATGATGATGATGAGATCACCATGAGCTGCCAAATGAAGATGGTGATGATTGATAGTGGAGTGCACAGGCACACCACATTTGAGTGGGTGGGGAGATGAGTAGGTGGGTGGTTGAGTGGATAAGTGGGTTGGGACATTAGTGGGTGGGTGTACAGGCACACACCACGTGTCCCTCAGAAGGCATTGAGCAGATTGTTGCAGACACTTGTATACGAATGTGTACAGCCTGTATGGGTGTAAAGTATACTATCAAATACACAAACATCCACACACAGATGTTTTGCTTGTATACTTTTTTAAATGTTTATTCGTTGTATTCCCTCACCGACTTGAGTTCGATTCCCGGTTACGGCTAAAATCATTGGCGTGTGATATCTGAACAGGTCCTGCCACGCGGTTGAGCCACGCGTTAGAATATTCATAATCAACGATTGTGACATTGTTTCGTTTACACAGTATAATTAGGGACTAGGGAATTTAAGAGGTACTAAAGATATTTGATGTTAATTGTTAAATGCTTTAATAATATGTATGTTAAATGTTGTTAGATATGATAAGCATCTGTGATCACCATTTAGTTTTGGGGGGATCCTGTAGGCTTTCGACCAATATCATCCATAATACAGGTTTTTTCGGGTTAGATTGCATAAATATATAAATGTGTCGTTAAACCTGCCACCACCCGACATAGCCAATTAGTAAAGTTTGTCACGTAAACAAAACATTCCAGTTCGTTACTTGTACATCACACCGGTGTGTTGGAGAGCAAAGCCACAACATGTTCTGTTTATGACAAACCTTACTAATTGGCTGTGTCAGGTGGTGGAGGGTTTAACGACACATTTATATATTTACGCTATTTAACCCAATAAACCTGTATTATGGATCATTTATCATAAATTGTGGTCATTGGGGCTTAAAAGTTAAACTAGGGAAATGCTACCGTTATTCAAGCACAAAAATGTACGAGATGTTTTAGTCTTATTTTTTATGTAATTTTTTTTTACTGAAAAATGTGTTTCCGGTGATTGGTTGTTCATTTTCTCCGACGATTGGAGCCGATTGCTCAGTATTCAATAGTCTACGATTAATCCGTCAGCTCGAGTTGACTCGGTCATCAATCGCCTCGTGTGTGTGAGAGCTTAAGACAAGTAAGGTACCGGGTTCAGATAGCAATTGTCCATGAGCGAGTATCACAGGGAATCAATCAGAGGTCCTTAAAAATTTGACAAAAATATTATTTTATTGCTATATGCTCTTGGAAAGCTCAATATATAAACAGACATGTTTATGATTCATAGGATTTGGTTGAAAAGCCTTAATTGTAGGTTTATACCATGTGTTTCAAACACAAACATGTAAAACGCACTCAACCCTTGCGCATAATGTAAAAATCGTCAACATTTCCTGAAGTATTGCATTGTGGTATCATTTCTTAGGTCACCATCAAAATGAATGAGCCAATGTGACTAACTGACAGGTAGAAGTGATATGCAACTGTGGTAGCATGTTGATTTGTATTAGGACTCATCAGCTCAAAACCCCGTCGTAAATCGTACCCTATTTCCCATAGACAGTAGAAAAAGTAGAAAGATCACTGGGCTGATGTGTATTTTCTTTAATCAGCCATCAGTAACAGGATTGAATAGATAAATATCCACAAAAAAATAACAAAAAATCCACGTGCCAATGCATACTGTAAACCAGACCGACTCTCTTCAAATGTGTTAGGAGTCGTTTTAGAAGGTGCGTCCTAAAATCAAGTTCATGCATCGTAAATAGATCATCCGTGTATTAGACCATTGTAAACCAGAGACCGCCTGTCTTTCCTGCTGTGCATTTAATTTATCTTTTTCTCCCATTTTTTCGTAAAGAAAATGTTGCCACCGACGATTGGTTGGTCATTACCGCTATCGATCGGAGCCGATTGTTCAGCATCCAATTGTGTACGATGTATCTGTTGGCTTGAGTAGATTCGGTAATCAATTGCCTTGTGCATGCTAACACTGAAGGCAAGCGAGGCCACATACCAGGTTATCATGCGGCAGTTACCATGCGGCTCACATAGCATCGGGCTAGTACATTTTTTCCCCCACTGCGGAAAGAAGCCAAGCCGTTGCCGTCGATGTCACACAGTAACGAACAATCAATTAGTTACACCCCCACTCCCAAGGGTGCTACGGTCGAGAGACGTTAACCATCTTGCCTGGTATGCAGGAGTTCATTGGTTAAAACCGGACCCCGACGCCTGTATATATGGAGTTTGCATGTTCTCTCCGTGGTCACATGGATTTATCTCCGGGTCCTCTGGTTTTTCCCTCCATATTCAGAAATATGCGTTTCAGAGTGTTTGGCTGCTATAAATTCCCACATGATAAGCCACTTTGCTGAGCTATCATTTGTGGGCAAGTCACACCTGTAAAATAGCTATATAGCTCAGTGGGCCTTCCCTGGTAAAATAAAAAAAAAATGTTACAGTACACTGACTTATCTGTGCTAATGACGGGGAGGATGGCCGTAGATAATTCAAAATCATGAATAATTCAAAAGTATCCATTTTCCGCAGATCTCCATGACAAAAACTACTAGTATTGGTATAAATTAAGAATGAATACTAATGATTGATGATACGAGTATTCAGTGATAAGACTTTCCTGGTCCTGCCCAGCATAAGATTTGGCCCACTAGGTGGACAGCAGAGCCATGCCAATCAACATCAATCAAACTCTGCCCACTTTTGAAAATATTTGAAACTACTGTACTGTAGAGGCAATCACGTGGTTTTGGGATTAACATATTTGTTCGGTTTCAGTACGTGACTTGTAATAAACATTTATAATAACTATAATTATTTTTTTATTATTAATTTGGGCTTAAGGGAAAATACATGAATTATTAATAAATGTCAAAATCTGAGGTGCTCTGTTAATTGACAAATCAGATAAATGTCACTCAGGTAATCGAGTCTACTGTGGTTATAGTTAATAGACCCTCGTAGTATGGTGCAACACTCATCCCAGCACTGGATTGACAAGGGATGTAGTTTACCGCACGTTCTAGCAGCAAGTAGGAGAAATACAAGACGACAGTTACCCAACTGTCATCATAATCATCATATACAGTCTATTCTCATATAACACGTGTTTTCATAACGCGAATTGAATATAACACGAATGTATTAGGGAACAAATGTTTTATAATGCGGATGCAAATTCGTTATAATGCGATTGAGTGAACTGAACTACGTCGTACGAGTATGAGTAGTGGTTGTACGGCTGCCTCAGAGTAGCATCGTACAAGGCATTGTTTTGCTTCTGGATGCTTCTAGATGCTACCCACACCCCTCGGTGTTTTGTTCAGCCTGCGTACGCATCATCTCACGTGTTATCGTGGACTCTGCTTTACCCAATATTATATATTATTCATTATAACGCGATTTTTCCATAAGGTGGTGTTCTTCATGACCACAACTACCATCGAATTATACGAGAGCAGATTGTAATTACGGTCACCAAACTGTCATCGTCACAATCATTACGTACGCCACGCAAGTCGTGCAGTACAATCTGGAGATGCCAGTGTGGGTGGCCTCACAGCTGGTAGTAGAGTTTGTGCATCTGGTCCAACTGACCCTGGAGCGAGTCCACGACCTCCTGCAGCTGATCGGCAACCTCAGATGGGCTGCCGTTGCTCAGGTGTAGGCTGGAGTGTACCACGCTCGCGAGGTCCACCACCAGGAAGACGCTGCTCAGCACGAAGCCTGTCACTCGCAGCGCAGCCCCGGCTGTGCCCCTCAGCGCCCCTACTGCCACGTCCTCCACCACCGTGGCTGCCGCGATGCTGATCTGCGTGATGTTCTTCGCCACCTGAGGCAGGTTCAAGCTCCCGGGACTCATGCTCTCACCGCTGCCCGCTGCCGCCCTATTGAGTCTCACCATGGCCTCGTGCAACCTGACGCTGAGCTCCGTGTCCTGCGTCAGGAGCTCCTGCGCCTCGGTGCTGTCCATCCTGTTGAGGACGGTGAGGGCGATCGAAGCTCCGGCGCCCGTGATTCCCCCGGCCACTCCGATGGCAGCGCCGCCGATGATCAGGCCCAGGGACGCGCCAAAGGTGACGGGGATGAGGGCCAGGCCGACGATGGACATGATGCCACCGACGATGCCTGTGGCGCTGCCGGTCACCTTGGCGATGTTGACGTTCTTCTGCCGTTCGCGTATCGCCTGCACCATCCCCTGCAGGTTCTGAATGGTTTCCTCCCGCTTCTCTGTCCACTCCGGGTAGATATCCTGAAGCTTGTTGCGGGCCGACTCATAGTCACTCTGTTATTGTTCGAATGATGTGACAGGTGGAGGGAGGGGGGAGAAAGAGATGGGGCGGGGGGGAGAAGAGTTGATTTTTTGATACAGCAATCCCTCGCCAGCCGCGGGGGTTAGGTTCATGAAAACCCCTGTGGTTGGCATAACTGCAATGGGCGAGACTAAAGGCTTATGGGAAATAGGGGGTTAGGGGAACAATGGCTGCGGTCAGACTCGTCAGAGCCTAACTAACTTACCTGTTCATTAACTAACACCAAATAAAAGTATATGATAAAGCATCATAAAAATAAACATTACTTTAACTTTATATACCTTCAATATTAACGACGATGATGATGAGAATAAGATGATGGGTGAAGGGTTGGTTATGACGAGGGCCTCAGCCCACCCTTCCACTCTTCCTCCGAGCCACAGTCGCAACTCTCTCACTGCGTACAAGCCTATTTAACACTACCACTTTACTCTGGAAACCTCTTGCATTTTCTGGCTCCCTTAGCCTTTTTATCACCTTTACCACTCACTGCATGCTTCGGGTCCATGATCAAGGGCAACATTTATGTGAATGCAGTTGTGATGCAAAGTGGTCTATGCGCTGCAAGAATTACAGTACAGTATGTACAACAAAACAGAGACAGCTGATCAGCTGATCAGCTAAGCAGTGCCACGGGTTATTCATAGAATTACGACACGCCATGAAATGATGTCATGCTGTAATGCAGTGACGGAACACATGTCATGTGACTTCCTTAACACCATGCTTATCCGTGGATACTAAAATTTTCAGGCTTCGGTTGGTATACAAAATAAACCGTATAAACATGAAACCGCGGTTGAAAAATCTGTGATTGGCAAGAGATTCCTGTATTTTAAATGCGAGTTTATTGCTGCCCAGTAGCAAAGCACTTGCATCAGCAGCTAGATTGGTGCAGTGGGTTCACGCGCACCTTACAGTGTTCAGCATGTGTGTAGCCACATCACCAGAATCTGCCAGAACTGCCCTTTGGCAAAAAAGAATTGGAAAAATCAAGCAACAAAGCTACTGATTGGATCCAGCGAGTAATCACCCCCCCAGTGAGGAGCTCGCATCTTGCTCCAATTCCAAATGGCTCACACATGACGGAGCCTAAACAGACTGCAGAGAGTGGGTCTCAGCAGATGCAGCTCTCTTGTAAAATCATGGGGGGGGGGGGGGGGGGCTTCTACACAACCAACCAATGTGCTTATCAGGAGAAGCAAACTATGGATCATCTCCTGAGATGCCCTGCAGAACCACAATGGACAATATCAAGATTTGGCAATGCCAATGTAGTAATGTTAAGGGTGTCACTATGGTGGGAGCGCCAGGCACTGTCATAAGAGTGCTACTGTGCGTCTGGAACCTCTGACTGGGGATAGAGTAAATACGGTATGCGAACGGTCCCTAGGGGACATAGTCCTGGTGGCGGTCTGAGAAATGGCAAGTCAGGACATGGTAGTCTGGGTGAACCCGAGACGGCACGTGACCGGGACAGGGTAGTGAGGGGGGCCCAAGGGGGGCTTGAGGGACACGTGACACTCCGTCGAGATCCTTCGGGAAAGGTCTCGAAGGGGGCGTGGCCGAAGGCGGAGCAAGGCCACGCAGAGGAGCATAAAGGGGCAGTCCCGAGAGCGTTCTAGGCTCGTCTCTGGAATCAACCCTTGGTGCTGCGTCTCGTCGTCTTCGGTCTTCACTCGGCATCGTGGGTCAGGCAGCGTGTAGGCTGACTGACCCGTTCATGTAGTTAACCCGCTACTCACATAGTTAACTGTGTAGCTATAATTTAGCAGTAGAACCAGTGTACATTTAGTTAAGTTACCCTGTTGGGGAGTTATTAAATAAAGTGTTGCCTCCAACTCCAGTGTGTGCCTCCGTACAACACACTACACCAAAACCATAAGCGGTGGCCTGTGCAGAATATTAGGAAAAGATTGTATATCCGTTGGACAGGAGACACAACGAAGAAAACTGTTATAACCAAATAAATGCACGTGTCAAGCAGGAGGCTGAAGGACTACAACTTTATGCCCCAGCATGGATGCCAGAAAGTTATGAATAACGAGCACTCGACCCTCTCAAATGACATCCGAGGTGGCGAGTCGTGCCCAAGTCCGCAATTGGAGCTCGCTCTTTTCAAATGCCTCTTCCCAGATTTTTCTGTTTTCCATGACGAGTGATTTCCCCAAATGGACGCTGCGGTAGTTTACACCGTCCATCTCCCAACCAACTCCGCCTGGGAGAGAGACAAGGATCACACCGTGCACCGTGACCCCAAGTAGAGCACCTTGATTTTTCCTCCTAGCTTACCCGCGCAGAGGAGGTTGCTCTCATACAGATCTACCGGTTCACACAGAGCGGACAAGTCCTGTGCATGAATAAGCCTGTTCCGTTCCAATGATGTTCGTGTAAGTACATTTAGGTCATTGGAACGGGAAACTGATGACATGCACGTATGTCATCGGAACAGAATCAGAATAAATTTTTAATTAAATAATTTTATCAGTACCGAGGCTTCCACAAGGCAACATGGGAAGGCGTGTGGCTCAGTTTGGCGCCAGCTATCGTAGAGTGTCACTACGGTTCTCTGTGGTGAGTGCAATGTCATTAAAAATAGCAGCTCTATGCCCTCTCTAAATAAAACTAACGCTGAAGCGCATGTGCATTCTGAGATTCGGCGGTGAATGGGACACCCACTCTGCAATTTCTAGCAATCGTTTCAGAACGGAGAAAGGGTTAATAACTATGCAGACATTGTCCTTGTAAGCCGATACCTTAATAAGCGCGTGTTCTGGACTGGGAAGCCTGAAGCCGGATGACGTCTGAGCTGTACAATAGCCCCAATAGAAGACAGCCTCACCTCACTCCCCTTGTCACAGAGAAAGGAGCGCTGAGCTGCCGGTTAACCTTCGGGATGCTGGATGTACCCGCATATGGAAGTCTGTCGTGAGCAACCAACGCCTGCCAAACCCAAATGACTAGTGGTTTGTTTAAACTGTTCCTGGCCGACTCAGTCAAATGCTTTCTCCTGGTCTAGGAGGAGAAACTCTGACGACTCGAGGGCCACCCTTCTCGGCAAGAGAGATTGCGTCCTTGATGTGTGCGTGCATTGTTGTCGTATACCCATCAGCCTGGGACGCAATACGATTTTCTCAGACTGGACCAGCTGCCCAATTGCCGACTCAAACACGATTCACCAGATCCTTGGATAAGATCTTAGTCTGTGCAAAAGAGGGACACAGGCCGTCAGTTCTTAATGAGGCGCAAACCATCCTTCTTGCCCTCTTGCAGCTCTGCGGCAGTTCACCATTCTGCAGGCTCTCTATGAAAAGTGGAGCACCCAGGGAGAAAAATCCATGCTACCAAGAAGAGAACACGAAAATTCAAAATATACAGCAGGCATCGGGGTTGGGATCGAACCCACGACATCCTGGATACCAGGCGAGAGAGATAACATCTCGCCACCGCACGGAAACAAATGACGTTGTTCCTCCTGGTCAGCGCCTCGTAGACCGAATATTGTGCTATGATGGGTAGCAGTAGGGCCAAGTGGGCTTCTAGGGTAACGACAAAGGGAGCTGAGTGAACCACTAAAACAAAGCACCACGACCACTTAGCAGATGCCTGGAGGGCAGTGTTCTTCATTACAAGGTCCGCGGCCACTGGCGGCCCATGGTGGCCTTTAGTGCGTAGCATGACTTCAGAGATGGGGGGTACAAGAGGAAACGGGTTTCTGCATAGAAGCCTTCATTTTGTCTGCTTGGTTTAAAACGGTCTTTACGTTATACTGCACTCGCCGCTAATGAACGCGCGACTTCACTTATCATCTCTAACCTCCTCCTGATCTGCATTTTTGCTACAATACTGTATACAACACTACTACACTACTATAAACTACACTATACTATTCACTACAGTACTGCATACTACACTACTATAAAGTACACGATACACTACTATATACTCCACTACTATACACTATAAACTACACTATACGCTACAATACTGTATACTACACTACTATAAACTACACTATATACAGTTTAACACGTAGGCTTTCGTGACCAATATTATTCATAATAAAGGTTTTTGGGTTAGATCGCGTTATTTATAAATGTGTCGTAACCCTACACCACCCGACACGGCCAATCAGCAAAATAAAGTGTCACGTTGACAAAAGACAATTAGTTCACTACTTTAGCCCACCGGTGTGTTGAAGAGTGAATCCACAACATTTACAGTTTGAATACGTTTCGCTGGTAATTACATTCAGCATTATTGGGCAATTCGCCAGAATGGTAAAGCCCTCACTTGCTCTCGGTCTTAAATAGAGCAGCAGGGTGACATAATCATTTAACTCATTTCAGGTGCAGTGATTTGAGGTGGAGGGGGGGTATTGTCATTATATAATCGATTGGTAATCAGTCAATGGTTATGATTAGTAATGAGTTGTAGATTAGTAATTATTTGTAATGTGTGTTATTGTGATTATATGCTACATTAGCAATCCGTTAATTAATGTGTTTCCCTATAAGGAATTGTAATATGTATTATTTAATAATACGATTCCAGGCCGCACTAAGCCTATAGCTATCAGAACGATTAAAGTTATTTCTGTTTCTCTCAATTTCAATGGATTCTTTAATTAGTCTTTGCCAGTAATAATTGTTTTACACAACACTTCAACGTTATAAAAATCAATTGAATGTCCTTGTTGACAAGCATGTTCTGCCACTGCCGAAAGTTGTGTTTGAGATAATTTAGTATTTCTTTGGTGTTCTTTTAGTCTTATGCTGGTGTTATGTCCCGTCTGTCAATATAGCATCTGCCACATAAACAATTAATCCGATATACACCTTCTGTTGATAATTTAGGTAATTCGTCTTTCGTGCAAGATACAAATTTTTGAATTTTGTGTACTGTACCAAATCTTACTGTAATGTTTTGCTTTTGCAAAACACGGGCTAATTTGTCAGTTACTCCTGAGATATGGAATTTTACTTGTTTTAAGAATCTGATCGCTTTCAGCAGTGTTGCTTTGCGATCGTGATTTGGCATTCAGTGCTCTGTTAATTTGAGTATTATTGTAGCCATTCTGTCGTAATGCCTCTTTAACGTGTTCCATCTCTCTCACTAGACTTTCACCATCTGACACTGTTTTAGCCCGATGTATGAGCGTCTTGATAAGAGAGGATTTCTGAGCTGGATGATGATGCGAATCTGCATTCAGATAGGCATCAGTGTGCGTTTGCTTTCTGTAAACGCTGTGTGTTATTTTACTGTTTATGCCATGTCCAAGCAAAATATCTAGGAACGGGAGTGTGTTATTCACCTCCATTTCCATGGTGAACTGGGTGGCCGGGTTTTGTGTATTGAGATGATTTAGAAAATCATTAAGTGTATCTTTACCATGTGGACAGACAACCAAAGTGTCATCCACATATCTAAACCAAAATTATGGTTTTAATGTGCTCGAGGCAAGTGCTCTTATTTCAAAGTTTTCCATGTACAGATTTGCTATAGTAGGAGATAAAGGAGAGCCCATTGCTGCTCCGGTACACTATATACACTACACTATTCCATACAGTACTGCATACTACACTACTATAAAGTACACGATACACTACACTACTATATACCACACTATATACTACACCACTATACTACAGTGATAACTTATTTCTTCAGAATTGCTTTGTGTTTAGTTTGCTGTCCTTCCCCCAAACCTCCGACTAGCACGGTTGGATGCGTACGGTAGTGCAAAATTAGCTCAACATACATAAGTACATAGACTCACACAGAGACGCATAGACTCGTACATAGACCCATAGTTTGTTGTCCTTCCCCGCATCTCTGATGTGGTTGTTGCTGCACATCCGCGAGATTCCCTGTCCGCATTAATAGATGGCCGGCACCAGGCGGCGCTCACGTGACATTCGGAAGCGACTGGTTCGTACCTGGACGTGGAAACGATTTTATTATTATGATTGTTTAGCTAGGAAAGTCTCAACTGTGCGTTGACACAATTGTTTATAAATACAGGAATATGAGAGAGAGCAATGATTTAAGGGCACGGTTAAAATTAATGACTGGGAAATACAACCAATGACAAAAAAATTCACGAAATAATTTGGGGCTGTGCCTTGGCTACATCGACATTCGGAGAGTACAATGAACGAGCGGCTTCACGTAAGGAGAGAGAGGGGTGGAGTGGTGGCGCAGCGGTTAGCGCACTGCCCGACAAACCTGTCGACTCCCTCCAACTGCGCAGCAGCGACCTTCAAGAACCTCCTTCTCCTCAGAGGGCGATTTTGACACCGCTGGTACCGGTCAGCAAGTCTACTCGGCTCCACATCCTCCTGTACCACATCAGCTTAATCTATTTTGTAGTCCGTGCCAATAATGCACTCACTCACCAACTCATCCACTCACCCATCGGCTCCATCTCTTCTCTAGCCCGTGCCACTCACCCACTCACAAACTCACCTACTCACCCATCAGCTCTATCTCTTTTCTAGCCCATGTCACCCACTCACTCAGCCACCAGCCCCATCTCTTCTCTAGCCCATGCCACTCACCCACTCACCCACCCACTCACTCAAAAGTTCGATCTCTTCTCTAGCCCGTGCCGCGCCCCTTTAGCCCCCTCTATCCGGCCGGACAGAAGCTGTTTAGGCATGCGTTGGATGGACATGTGGGCTACATGACCCAGCCAACGCAGCCTTGCCTGCTGGAGGATCTCACCGATGGTACCGTGTCCAGATCTTTCAAGGATCTGTAAGCTCCTCACACAAACAAGCGTGTTTAATACCCAGCACGGGATCGTAGGCAGGACAAGCCTGAATGTTTTTTTGACCGGCACAGATGTTCCTTCTTTAAAAAGGGCTCCACGTTTCACCAGAATAGTGAAGGGAGGGCATAACTCCGACAGTGTTGAGCAACAGAGCCACACAGCGTTGGGCAGCTAATGAAAAGATAATGCCGCTCGACTGATTCGGAGTGAGACCTCGGTTGCCAAACTGCAGCTGGTCAAAAGCACACTCCTCCCCCTCTCCCCACAACCGCCCCCATTGTACAACAAAGATAAAAATAAACATCGCCCGTAAAAGCCTCAACAGACTGTATGGGCAAGTGCTGCTAGCGAGCACCTATGGAAGCCGGCACGATACACGAGGGGGTGAGTGGCCAGCATCACGCCCGGCCACCTTTGTCTCCCCAGTGGCAATGTTTACTAACACACCGCACCAGGTACTCGTTTGAGGCCGAGTCGACCTAGGGGAGGCTCAGGACCGGTTCAGATAATCGTCACTTGTGTTGGCCGTGAGCGGGAATCGAACTCTGGTCTCCGAGTTCGTAGCGCAGTGTGCGAACCCCACTACATTGCAGTTCCCCATTATTCGCACACACGCGCACACACACACAAACACACACACCAACAACAACCGCCATTCGCCACTAAGTGGCGGTGACGTCACCACAACGCTTGTGCCAGGCCATGTGCACCTTGAGGCCACGGGATTTTTGCACACAGCGTTGGTGTACGGTGCTATTTCAGGAATATTTTGATATTTTTTTTTTCCTGTATTTTCTGTTTGCACAGTCACAAAATCACTTTAAGATGTTTTCTTGTTCATGTTTTTTGTTTGTTGCGGTTGCACCCGATTCAAGAGCCGAATGGCTCACAGGGCTATACCAAATAAATGAACTTTGAACTATGAACGTGAAGTGTCGAACGCCCGCTGGCAGGTCACACACAAATACACACACAAACACACACGCTCACATCCCTGCACATACTCGACCCACCTCTTCCACCTGTTTAAGTGTCTCTTAAAGAGTAAGTGGACAGTACGCTGAAGTTTAAACGCTGCGATGTTTGCAGCAGAACAGTGTGGGGGAGGGGGATTAACCCCTTTCTATAGCCTCCCTGAGGCTGTTGTTGCGAGTGCTGTTCGCGAGCAGCACCCATGAAGGCCGGAACGACACACGAGAGGGTGGGTGGCCAGCACCACGCCCGACCGCCTTTGTCTCCCCAGTGGCGATGTTTACACACCGCACCAGGTACTCATTTGAGGCCGAGTCGACCTAGGGGAGGCCCAGGACCGGTGCAGATAATCGTCACTGATGACCGTAGGGCAGTAGTGTAGCGCTGACCGCTACACTACTGCTCCTACAACACGGGCCTGGACCACACGCACACAGACACAAGACGCTTGCCGAGACGTCAATAGACCTCAGGGTCGGAAGCGGAAAAGTCAATTTCGGACACTGAACTTAACTATTCTTATTTTGCCAGGTAAGCCCCCCCACTGAGCTACGTAGCTATTCTTTCAGAAACGACCTGGCCATCACAAATGATAGCTCAACGAAGTGGGCTCATCACGTGCACATGCATAGCAGCCACACTGCTCTGAACGGTTGCTGTTGATTCTAAATGTGGAGGGGGTAAACCGGAGGATCCAGAAAAAACCACGCCACCCTTGGGGGGGAGAGCGAGAGACATGCAAAGTCAAAATATATAAAACAGGCGTCGTTCTGGGTCAGGATCGAACCCACGACCTCCTGTACACCAGGCGAGGTAGTTAACATCTCATCAGGGTCGGGATCGAACCCACGACCTCCTGTACACCAAGCGAGGTAGTTAACATCTCATCAGGGTCGCGATCGAACCCACGACCTCCTGTACACCAGGCGAGATAGTTAACATCTCATCAGGGTCGCGATCGAACTCACGACCTCCTGTAAACCAGGCGAGGTAATTAACGTCTCCTGGCCACCGCGGCGCAGCTCCACTCACCGCGGGCGCCTCGCGCGAATCCCTGCCAGGCGCGATGTCATCTCGTGCCTCGGCGTCTCCTCCATCCTCCAGCAGAGACAACGACCAGAGGCGCTCCGTCTTCTTGCTGTACTGCTCCACCAGCGTGGCCAGCACCACGTTCCTGCTCGGCGTCTGCCTCTCTGCGGTCGAGGCGCGGCACTGCGGGCACGAGAAGCCGCCCGAGTTGGCGCCCGACTCGCCGTCCCAGTGTCGCTCGATGCACGCCGAGCAGTAGGAGTGGGCGCAGTGGAGGTACACGGGCTGGACGAAGATCTCCAGGCAGATGGGGCACGAGATGTCGCGCTCCTCGTCCGTCGTGGCGGCGGCGCGAGCCATGGTTGAGTAAACGCGAGAGAAGGAGGCGAGTGACTCTGACTCTGAGAGTGACTCGGTGGAGTGACTCTGTGAGTGACTGGCCCTCGTTTGTAATGCGACGGAGACGCAGAGGGTGGGGTGGGAGAGCGAGCGTGTGGCGCAGGCTGCCCAACACGCGGCTCCAGAGGCGGCAGGCGACGCGGCTCGAGGCGTCGAGGGTGGTTCGCCTGTGGGGGGGGCGGGGGTCGAAGCGCGTGAGTCGGGAGCGCGAACGCGCGCGTCACTAGGTCGACCGGTTCTGGCGGCGTGTGTGAGTATGTGTGTCTGTGTGTGTGTCTGTGTGAGTATGTGTGTGTGAGTATGTGTGTGTGTCTGTGTGAGTATGTGTGTGTCTGTGTGAGTGTGTGTGTGTCTGTGTGTGTCTGTGTGAGTATGTGTGTGTGTGTCTGTGTGAGTATGTGTGTGTGTGTCTGTGTGAGTATGTGTGAGTATGCGTGTGTGTCTGTGCTCGCTAACAGCACTTGCCCCTACAGTCTGTTAAGGCTATATGGGGGATCTTTGTCTTTATCTTTGTGTCTGTGTGAGTATGTGTGTATGTGTGTGTGTCTGTGTGAGTATGTGTGTGTGTGTCTGTGTGAGTATGTGTGTGTCTGTGTGAGTATGTGTGTGTCTGTGTGTCTGTGTGAGTATGTGTGTGTGTGTCTGTGTGAGTATGTGTGTGTCTGTGTGAGTATGTGTGTCTGTGTGTCTGTGTGTGTGTGTCTGTGTGAGTATGTGTGTGTGTGTCTGTGTGAGTATGTGTGTGTCTGTGTGAGTATGTGTGTCTGTGTGTCTGTGTGTGTGTGTGTCTGTGTGAGTATGTGTGTGTGTCTGTGTGAGTATGTGTGTGTGTCTGTGTGAGTATGTGTGTGTCTGTGTGAGTATGTGTGTGTCTGTGTGTGTCTGTGTGAGTATGTGTGTGTCTGTGTGAGTATGTGTGTGTGACTGTGTGAGTATGTGTGTCTGTGTGTGTCTGTGTGAGTATGTGTGTGTCTGTGTGAGTATGTGTGAGTATGTGTGTGTGTGTCTGTGTGAGTATGTGTGTGTGTGTCTGTGTGAGTATGTGTGTCTGTGTGTGTGTCTGTGTGAGTATGTGTGTGTGTCTGTGTGAGTATGTGTGTGTCTGTGTGTCTGTGTGAGTATGTGTGTGTGTGTCTGTGTGAGTATGTGTGTGTCTGTGTGAGTATGTGTGTCTGTGTGTGTGTGTGTCTGTGTGAGTATGTGTGTGTCTGTGTGTGTGTCTGTGTGAGTATGTGTGTGTGTCTGTGTGAGTATGTGTGTGTCTGTGTGAGTATGTGTGTGTCTGTGTGAGTATGTGTGTGTCTGTGTGTGTCTGTGTGAGTATGTGTGTGTCTGTGTGTGTGTCTGTGTGAGTATGTATGTGTGTGTCTGTGTGAGAATGTGTGTGTGTGTGTCTGTGTGAGTATGTATGTGTGTGTCTGTGTGAGTATGTGTGTGTCTGTGTGAGTATGTGTGAGTGTGTGTGTCTGTGTGAGTATATGTGTCTGTGTGTGTGTCTGTGTGAGTATGTGTGTGTGTGTCTGTGTGAGTATAGTGTGTGTGTCTGTGTGAGTATGTGTGTGTCTGTGTGTGTGTGTCTGTGTGAGTATGTGTGTGTCTGTGTGAGTATGTGTGAGTGTGTGTGTCTGTGTGAGTATATGTGTCTGTGTGTGTGTCTGTGTGAGTATGTGTGTGTGTGTCTGTGTGAGTATAGTGTGTGTGTCTGTGTGAGTATGTGTGTGTCTGTGTGTGTGTGTCTGTGTGAGTATGTGTGTGTCTGTGTGTGTGTCTGTGTGAGTATGTGTGTGTGTGTGAGTATGTGTGTGTCTGTGTGAGTATGTGTGTGTCTGTGTGTGTCTGTGTGAGTATGTGTGTGTCTGTGTGAGTATGTGTGAGTATGTGTGTGTGTCTGTGTGAGTATTTGTGTCTGTGTGTGTGTCTGTGCGAGTATGTGTGTGTGTGTCTGTGTGAGTATGTGTGTGTCTGTGTGTGTGTGTGTGTCTGTGTGTGTCTGTGTGTGTGTGTCTGTGTGAGTATGTGTGTGTGTCTGTGTGAGTATGTGTGTCTGTGTGTGTGTGTCTGTGTGAGTATGTGTGTGTCTGTGTGTGTCTGTGTGAGTATGTGTGTGTTCAGGATGGTTGGGAAAAAGCGACAGGCCCACTGTCATCGGCTACAGAATCCCACGTCAGAGAATGAGGAGGCTTACCGCAGCCTTCGCTCGGAGGTTCGGAGAGCCGTGAGGCGCTGCAAGGATGGGTGGTGGTCGCGGGTTGCTGAGGAGATGGAGTCTGCCTCAGTGGCCTGTGATCACAAATCTCTATTTAACTCCATAAAAAAAGTAACCTGCAGCGTCACATCTATTACCATCATTAGTGGAAAAAACGGTGATCCAATCTCCGACCCCCAGGAACAGGTTTGCAGATTTGCTGAGCATTTCTGTGAGGTCCTGGGGAAGGGGAAATCCCTCAGCCAGGAAAACATCGTGGCACAAAGTGGGGATGACCGTGCTGAGGCTGCGGTGCCTCAAATATTGGAAGAAGTCACCCCCTGTGAGTGGCTGGCTGATGTGCCATCTGTTGAGGAAGTACTGAAGGCGATCCGGAGTCTGAGACCAGGAAAGGCAGCGGGCAGAGATGATCTCCCAAGCGAAATGCTGAGGGAGGGTGGCGTTTGTGCACAGACTGCCCTATATGACATCATAACAACAGTCTGGACCACTGGATGGGTTCCGCAGGATTGGAAGGATGCCCTGGTGGTCCCCCTCTTTAAGAAGGGGGACCGCACAGACTGTAACAACTACAGGGGCATCTCAGTCCTCAGTGTGCCGGGCAAGGTCCTGGCAAGGATTATTCAACATCGCCTTGCCAGGCACGCTGAGGAGAGGCTTGCGGAGCTCCAATGCGGTTTCAGGAAAGGGCGGTCCTGCACGGATGCCATATTTTCTGTCCGTCTGCTACAGCAGAGGTGTAGGGAATTCCAGCAAGACCTACATCTCTGCTTTTTTGACCTGGTCAAGGCCTGAGCTCTGGGTTGTTCTTCGTGCTTTTGGAGTACCTGACCTTCTGCTCACGATCATTAAGGACCTTCATGATGGTGAGCTAGGCCCGGATAAAACTACGTGGCCGGGAGTCAGAGCCATTCCCTGTACACCTTGGGGTGCGACAGGGATGTCCTCTGGCTCCCACATTATTTAACATCTATTTTGACCACGTAGTTCGTGAAGCCTTCAATAGCTGTACCGGGGGAATCTCCATATGGTACAGATATAATGGGAGGCTGATCGATGCCCGGGTGCGGTCAAGGGATGGCTCCCTATTGCTCAACCACGTTATGTATGCTGATGATTTGGTAATAGCTGCTCATTCAGAGGAGGAGTTGGAGATGCTGCTGTTGCTACTAAGATATGGGGCCTTACCATCACCCCCACCAAAACTAAGCACCTGCCTGGGTATTTTGTACCATCGGACACTCCACCCCCACAACTCCCAATCGGTGATGGGGCAGTTGTGGAGAGAGTGGAGAGTTTCCCATACCTGGGAAGTGTGCTTGTGACCGGCTCCAGTTTAACAGCAGAGGTTTCACTCCGAATCAGTCGAGCGGCAATATCTTTTCATCGGTTGCGTCATGCTGTGTGGAAGCTACCTGGTCTGTCGCTCCGCACTAAGCTTCAGGTCTTCTCGGCCACGGTCATTCCCTCCCTTCTCTACGCTTGCGAAACGTGGACCCCCCTCATGGAACATCTTCGCCGGTTAGAAACATTTAGGCTGGCCTGCCTACAATCCATCCTGGGTTTAACCAGGCTGGATTGTGTGAGGAGCTCACAAATCCTTGAAAGATCTGGGCACGTCCCATCAGTGAGCTCCTCCGGCAGGCAAGGCTGCATTGGCTGGGTCATGTAGCCCGCATACCCAGCCACCGCATGCCGAAACAGCTTTTGTTCGGCCGGATCGAGGGGGCTAAACGGGCGCAGCACGGGCTACAGAAGAGATGGAATGACGTGGTACAGGAGGACGTGGAGCTGAGTGGACTTGCATATGACTGGTACCAGTGGTGTCAAGATCAGCCTCTGTGGAGGAGGCTCGTGAAGGACGCTACTGGGCAGTTGGAGGCAGTCGCCCTCAAACAACAACGGAGGGCGGAGGAGCGACGCTCACAACAACGAGCGGAGCGCCGGGTGGCTAAAGCACAGCAGGTTGGCACAATAGGGGGCACAAGTGGTGCATCAGCCAGTGATCTCACTCAGTCGACCCGTGGCACCTGGGTCTGCCCCGTGACCTCCTGCCAGTGGGCGTTCGACACTCCACGTGGCCTCAATGTGCACATGGCCTGGCACAAGCGTCGTGGTGACGTCACCGCCACTTAGTGGCGAATGGCGTTTGTTGTTGTGTGTGTGTCTGTGTGAGTATGTGTGTGTGTCTGTGTGAGTATGTGTGTGTGTCTGTGTGAAGAGCGGTGGTGTAGCGGTTAGCGCGTTGCGCTATGAACCTGGCCACCCAGGTTCGATTCCCGCTCACGGCTAACACCAGTGACGATTATCTGAACCGGTCCCGGTCTTCCCCTAGGTCGATTCAGCCTCAAATGAGTACCTGGTGCGGTGTGTAAACAGTGCCACTGGGGAGACAAAGGCGGTCGGGCGTGGTGCTGGTCTTCATAGGCGCTCGCTAACAGCACTTGCCCCTACAGTCTGTCAAGGCTATACGGGGGATCTTTGTCTTTATCTTTTGTGTGTCTGTGTGAGTATGTGTGTGTCTGTGTGTGTCTGTGTGAATATGTGTGTGTCTGTGTGAGTATGTGTGTGTGTCTGTGTGAGTGTGTGTGTGTCTGTGTGAGTATGTGTGTGTCTGTGTGAGTATGTGTGTGTACGACTGTGTGTATGTGTGTACGACTGTGTGTGTGTGTGTCTGTGAGTGTGTGTATCGTGTGGGGAGCGATAGTGTAGCGGTTTGCGCGCTGCGCTATGAACCTGGCGACCTGGGTTCGATTCCCGCTCACGGCCAACACCAGTGACAATTATCTGAACCGGTCCCGGGCCTCCCCATAGGTCGACTCAGCCTCAAATGAGTACCTGGTGCGGTGTGAAAACATCGCCACTAGGGAGACAAAGGCGGTCGGGCGTGGTGCTGGCCACCCACCCCCTCGTGTACCGTTCCGGCCTTCATAGGTGCTCGCTAACAGCACTTGCCCCTACAGTCTGTTACAGGCTATACGGGGGATCTTTGTTTTGTATCGTGTATGTGTACAACTCTGTGTGTACGACTGTGTATATGTGTAGGTACGACTGTGTGTGTATGT